CGCTATCAGATTAACAATAAATTCTCATTCACTAACAGCGGCGCAGTGCCGGCCGGGCCGGGGGCGGCCGGGGGCGCGCCCACCCTCCCCACCGCGGCGGGGGCGAGATACCCTCCTCCTGCCCGGGGGCCGGCGGGGCGGCCGCTCAATGAGGACATGGTGCAAAACCCCCATTGAGACCGGCCGCCCCCTCCTCTCCGCCCCCCACTCCGGTAAAAACGGGGCGCGTCGCCATATTTTATTCAGTGCCAGGGGGGGGGGGGGGGGATCGCTGCCCCGCCCCAACTCTCCCCCGGGGAAACCAAATTTCAGCCGGGGCCATTTTTCAAGTCGCGCAGGCTGGGGCGGGGCGGGACGGAACGGGGTGGCGGTGGTTTGGGACTCTGCAGCTCAGCCCGAACGGAACGGCGAGCATCCGGCCGTCCTCTCCCTCTCCCTGCGCGGAGCCCCCCGGGGGAAAAGTAGGGAAGACGCGGAGAATGGGGGAAACGGGGGAGGGAAGAAAAAGAAAGGGGGAGGAAAAAAGAAAGAGGGAGGGAGCGAGCGAGCAGGGCCCGCCGCCCTAAAGTCCTCCGGCGGCGCGGGGCCAAGCGGAGCCAAGTGGAGCGGCGGCGGCAGCCCCTTCGATCGCCGTCTTCCATTTTATTTCACAATAGATTACACGTTTTCATGGAAGGGAAAAGAATTGGAGCCAGGGGCTGAGAGCGCCGAGGGGCGAGCAGGCGAAGGGCGGAGGGCGGGGGTGCAGCAACTGATGCGAGAACACCGTCAGGCCGAGGGGAGCAGCGGGCGGGGCGGAGAAGGGAGGGGGTAGTAAATTGATTATCAGCGCGAGGGGTTGGTCGGAGCCGCCAGCGCGGGCTTACGCCACAATTAGCCAGACCTTTGTGCCCCGGGGCGGGGCGGGGCGGGGCGGCCCTGGCCCTGGCCCTGCGAGCGCCGAGTGTCCGACAGGTCTGCGGTCGGCCGTCGCCCGGGACAGACGGAGGGACGGAGACGTGGGTGGGGGAGGTGGCCGACCCTTCGCGTCACCGAACTGGACGCGTTCATCTTGCTTCGGTCGGGGTCACCAAACACGAGGCACACGGTGTTGGCACACGTATAGCAGCCCCCTGGGCGGGCAGCGCAGCAGCAGCGCCTCCAGAGTGGCAGCACACAACCCCCACGACAGGCTACTACACGACGACACCCCTCCCTACACAGCCCCACTACAATCGGCTGGCGTGGCGTCTGACTTTCTGCCCCATCCACTCTCCCCTTCAGGGTGGGTGAGCAGGGACGGCGGGCGGCTGATGTGAGCGACGCCGCCTCATGAACTCTCCATTTCCAGCGTCATTTCCTTTCGCCCCCTCACAGGCCTCCCTGCGAACCCCCTCTTTTTATACTGCCTTTTCCCCTTAAAAGTTGAGGGGTGTGATCACCCCTTCAGCCCCATACCCCCGGCACCCGCCCGCCCGCCCTTGCCTTTCACGCCCTTGCTCTCGGGCGCTATCCGCCCCACTGACCAGCAGCGTGCCGGCGGCCTAACGCCCCCCCACCCGCCGCCGCCGTCGCGTTGCGGTCGAGGGCCGCGCCACCCCCACTTCCCCCTTCAACCAGATTTGCGTCCGAATGCCCCGCGGCGCCTGGCGCCACTACCAACACCACCGACCGGTCTCACCCCTCCCTCCCCCCACTCCTCCCTCTCCCCGATCAGCATCGAACTAATTGCGGCAATTACCAGACCGGCTCAGTTGCGCTGGCAGCCGGTCTTAACGGTTGCCCGCCCCGCCCGCCCAGTCTGGTCGGCAGGGTGGGAGGTGGGCACACGGCGCACACACTACATGTACTGCGCTCTCTCCACCCCCATTTACGAATGAAAGTAACTCCAATTACACTACGAGGCGTGACAGATGAGCGCAAACCCCACGCCCACCACCACCTCCTCCTCCTCAACGCCAACCAGTCGCCGAGGGGGACAAGTTTTAATTCGAGTGTAACTCCGGCCGCCAATCTCAGCCCGGGCGCCGCACCCCTACGCTAATTACCGGAGAGCAGGAGATAATTACGAGAGGGCGTGGCGGGGCGGGGCGTGGCGTGGCGGGGCGTGGCGCAGGTAACTCGGCGCGCTACCGGAGGAGAGGAAAGGGCGGGCCGAGGGTCGGGAAAATAAAGGGCCCCGGGCCCCAGCTCGCAGAGAGAAGGGCGCGAAGGAGGCGTGGGCGGGGTCGGGTCTGCGGGGCGGGGCGGTCCCAATAAGTTTCCCTCCCCAGCGTGCACCGCGCCTGCAGTGCACTGCTGCATTCAGAGGCAGCGGGGCGAAGCGCGGCGGCCGCGGCTTACGCAGGGCGAGAGAGAGAGAGAGGGTGGAAAGTTGAGAGAACCTCTAGCGCGCCGAGTTTGGGACCGAGCGAGGCGAGTTTCGGGGAAGGGAGCGAGAGAGAGAGAGAGAGCAGCGCGGAGCGAGGGAGTCAACCATTATTACACATCGTTGAGATGTTCGCCAACTTTGTGATCTAATTTGCAAAACACGTCGCCGAGACTCTTCCTCACCCACTCGCGCGCGAACAGCAACAAACATTTCCTGCTCACGCCGCCCCGCCCGCCTGGCACTCTCCCACATCCCCCTCCCACCCTCCCTCACGGTGGCCGAGCTGTGACAGGGGCCCGGCCGCCGCCGCGCTGAGCTACAAGCTCGCCAACCCGACACATAATTATGTAAATAATAATGAAAGCAGCAGGCAGCCCGGGGATTTCTACAAAATAAACAAAAACTCTAAACTGGCGGGGCGTGGCGCGGCCTGTACAGCAAACAGCACGCAAAGGAACGCGTTTGCTAAAGCAAAAAGAGGGGCGTGGCGGGGCGTGGCGGGGGGACAGCATGTGTAAAGTACTCGGCGCCAGACGCAAAGCCTTTTTTAATAAAACCGGCTGGGCGAGCCGGGCGTGGCGGGGCGTGG